AAAATAAAATTGGGGAGAAAACCATACATTTTAGTTTGAGCACCCAGGTGAAGAGGCAGAGTACAAATTCAACTAACCCACACTAAGGCCGTGAACAAATTGGTTCCATGAAAAAAAAAGGTTTTGTTTTATATTGATATTTATGATGTAGCTGTTTTTATCAATTGAAGGTAGAGGCATGCCTATGCTGTATTATTTTATCGTTTTTGTAGTTTTTGTTGTAAACTACTTGGAGTCTTGAGACAGGGCAATATATAAATTCCTGTAATAAACAAACAGTTACTGTAGTATTTCAAGTATCATCTGTGAATTCACACAAACAGATTCTATACCTGCCCAGAACTCTGTTCAGACCTTCTAAACTTAACCTTTTGGTGGATGCACCACACTCCCTTATTACAATTCATATACTATGTGCTGCTCCCATTATCTCCTCCATTTCTTGGAATGAAGACAGATGCTTGGAAATTGACAGCGGTGAAAGGCCGAGAGAGAAAGAGGGCTTATGTGAATTCACTGATGACCAGGTGAAGATCCAAAGTTACAGTTAAGTGAAGTGTTCTTCATTGTGGTCTGATTCAAATCAACAGGTGAGCCACAACCTGGAGGTGAATAGGGACTACGTAATCAGAGAAGAAAATACATCTCTACTATTGCATCGTTTTGGGGGGCGTGAAGGTCAAATCGACAGTGATAACTGAAGAGAAAAGGATGGGATCAGATTGCAATTCAGAGCATTAGTTCCAGACAGATTGTGTCTGAAAAGGGCCACTGATGTAGAAATGGTCCTAGTGGAATAACCTTTCCTGAAAAAGGTCAAAGATGCTTTACTACCTCTCCATACAGAGGCGCAGACCAAACCTTTCCTAGGAACCTGAGTATAAAGAAACAGTTGATAGTCCCTTTGGAATGGAGTAGTCTCTTTTAAATAAAAAGCTACTGCTCTCCTGACACTCCTGATATGCAGCATTCAGTTCAAAAGTCTTGTGTCATCAAGAAAAAAAAAAGTGAAGAATGATGACCTGAACTGGATAGAAAGGTGAAACACATTTTGGAAGAAAAGATATATCAGGACACAACACTGTGGCTATGGAATGCAGTACCTTGAAATGAAGGATTCTACATTCAATCGTAAGTCGAGCCACCAAAAAGCCAGGAGAGCAGATGGAGGGCAGGCACAACGGCCCATTGGTCAAAGGTTCTGCATATAAGCATTATCAAGAGAAACAAAAAGCTTCAGTTTGAAATGGGAGAGGTGATGGATACACACACAGTGAATGAACACTTTGAGTACGACAGTACATAGGAAGAGCCAGTGACCTGGAGAAATGACTCTGCTTCAGTTTTAATGTGCATGTGGTGAATAGTGCAGGTAATAAAGCCAAACTGTTTCAGTGAAGGTGAGGAAGTAATATCACTTGGCTATATATGTCTTTGTTGCTGAGACATACTGTCTGTCTGATCGAGAAGAGAGGCAAACTTCAAATCCTTTATATGGTTTGATAAAGGAAATGAAGAGCAGGAAGGCAGGTCTGGTCTCTGTACAGAGAAAGCAGATCTGTTTTTTCAGGGAGAAGATACTTTTGGTGCAATAGAAAAATGAGAATCATGGACTATATCAATCAGGGGCACCAAGTTGTTGATGTTGTTGTAAAAGTTTTATAGGGAAACCAGTAAAGTTTGTCCAGAAGAAAAGGGATCTATCCCCCAGGGTCCGGGTCCTGAATCCCTCTTATCCTCTCTTGTACAGCCAGAGAAAATTCTGTACAAGTGCAGAACCCCCTTCATGACCTACACAGACCTCAATAAAAATAAATATTGGATTCTTCATTTTAATTCATTTTCAGCAAAGAAAGTGAGAATTGTGGTTCCCTCGTCCAGAATGAATTTAGAGCATGCATATCCAAAGCTATTTTCCCATGTTCAGAAACCTGTCTTAAAACCAGAAATCTAGACTTTTTTTCAACTGCATTGCTTCATCTCCTTAGTAACTGACAGCACTTCTTGTAACCATTTCAGCAGCACTTGCCTGAGGCAGGTTGGAATGAACTATAAATAGCACACTCTGCCATCTGCCTTTTTATTTCAGTGTTAGCACTGAGTTTATGCTTCACTGATAACCTCCCATGTGCTGCACCTCCAGCAGCTGTAGGCAACAGTAGTGCAAGACCAAGATAATGAAGTGAAAAGAATAGAATCCTTTACTACTATAATTAGTAGCTGGTTTGATATTCATCATTATTAAAAAAAATCACTGTGTCCACAGTACCAACATTAGAAATCAGATCCCATAACCTGTCTTATAAAAACACATTTAAGATGTTTCAGAGATTATGGAATTTACATTGATATTAGATTAAATAATAAATCAATACAACTGGCAAGCTTGTAACAGAGTAAAAGCTATACTTAACCCTTATGAAACAAATTGTTTGACAATATCGGCAGAAAATATTCCTAAAAGACCTCAAGAACAAAGAATAGAAGGGAGCAGAATGAAAATCTGAAAGTCAGTAAAAGCTCCAAGAAAAAAATGAAGTATAAACAAAGATTTGAAAGAGAGGAACGGTTTAGATTGGGAGTGGATGAAATTCAGGTTATGAATTAGCTTAAAGGAGAAAGCAAGCCAATTCAGTTTGGCTTAATGCAAAAAATCTCTGAAACACATAACACACAAACAATAAGATATTTCCCTTTTTTTCCCCCAAATGCTAAGAGAAAATAATTTGATCTTTATTATCACCTTTATCTCATGCCAAATTCTTCTTCTTCTGGAGAAACTGACGTTGATTGATTGATTATATTTATTTGGTCAATGACTAGCAAATTTAAAAGAACAAAACCAGAGTGAAACAAATTGATACAACAATATACTAAGAAACAAATCACACAGTATTACATTCACTCCTCTATTACCATATTAATACAATAATTACCCTAGTAACAATAAATCTAAAAAAAATTAATAGTTCTGATGTAAAACATATATCCCCTAATGACTTATGAAGTTAGAAATATCAAACCAAAAGTTATATTTGGAATAAGAGTGAGTACTTCTTGAACCAATTACTTCTTTAACCAATTTTGCCTTATTTTCATTGCAGCAATGCAGAATTTGGCTACTGCACAAGTAATGAAGGGTTTTAAATCTTGAAGAAGATGATTCAGATAAAATTTATCTGGTCTCCCTGGGATTTTATCTGTTAGGGGCAAAATATAAATAGTCCTTATGTCCCTATAAAATTTACAGCGTAATAATGCATGTGATATGGTTTTAACTTCCTTATTGCCACATGGGCAAATGCGCTCAGCTATATGGATTTTATTATACCTGCCTTGAAGCACTGCTGATGGTAGAATATTGTACCTGGCTTTTAAAAATGCTATTCTCCATTTAGGGAAAAATAGGTTTTGCAAATAACATGCTAGTTCCCATATGCCCTTGTTTATCCAAATTCTATAATGTTGGGGCAACCTGTCAACTTCAGTTTGGAACTCCAGATCCCTTATTTTTTGAATAGTTAACTGCTTGGCTTGATCACAGCCTGATGATATTAAGAATGGTAGAGAGAGCCCATATAAAGCCAACTTGTGCTCTACCACCTGTTTCCAGGGAGAAAAAAAAATTATCTGTTAGAACTAAGGGAGTTAGTCTGACAGGGAAGAATTGCACTTTAAGCCAGTAAGTTATCATCATCTTTCAGGTCCTAACCTGAACTGGCGGCATTCCTGTTTCGAGTCTTAACTGGGCATTTGGGGTTCCATTGGGAGCAGCTAAAATTGATCACAAAAATTTTATTTGTGCAGTTTCCTGCAACTCCTTCTTCATGTAAATTCCTGTTTGTGTGCCATAGAGAATTTGAGCCAATGTTTTGGCCTCGAAAAGTTTTAAAGCTGCAGGAAGGAGAAACTGAAGAGGTAACACCAAGACCCTTTACAGCTCTAACATTATTTTTTAATTCTTTTCTTCTTAGCCATGAATTAGTCTGTTCTGAAGTATATTTGCATTTTATTAATGTAATACTTCTACAATGTTAAATTCCTATATATAACATGAACAAAATGTATCTAATTCTTCATAAATCAATTTATTAAATAAACTCTGATGTAAATGTAAACAATTATGAAGAATCAAAACAATTCAAACATGTATTACGGCCATAAGGCCAGTATAATAAAACTTCTGTTTTTTATGTGACTTAATATTTCTTTTTAAAAAGCTATTTACTAACCCAGGCATTTAGATGATTAAAACATGATAGTACACTCTATTCTTTTTAAGTAGTTATTTTCAGGCTGACCTATTTCTAATTCTCAACTCATTTCCACTCTTGAGGATGCATCCCCCTTCCCAGAAATGTCTGATTGGTTACTAAAAAGCTCAGGCGCAATGATGTCATGCAGTCTTTATTTTTGTAATTTGTTTGTATCACCTTAGCAACTTCTCACATGCTGCAGCTCTCTTTTTCTAGGAAAGGCTGCACAGGCAAGAGGTACATGGCTGCTAGGAATAGGAGGAACAGTATGCTAAACTATCTGCCTTTATTGTTATTGAAAACAGTAACAATATTAATCTTGTAATTTAGACAAACAGATTGCTCTACTGTTACAGGCAAAACTTGGAATTCCTAGTACATGCAAATGTCTTCCAATACATGCAAGTACCTTCCAGAAGTCACCATCCCAGGTAATCTGGGGGTCTTCATAACAGGGTTCTTAATGGCCAATTTGGTCTCCTCATCATGGGCTTCATTATTTGAGAATAAAGATCAAACCAAATGACAGCCTAACCAGGAATTAAGATATTTGGGTTTCCCAAAATGCTAAATATATTCCTCATATTTCCTCCTCTTTCCTCCAAAATTATTTTACAACCATTCATTCATACTGTAATTTGGAGGAATGTTTTCAGTAGTTTGTACATCCAGAAAAGGTTTAAGAGCTAAAAGAATAGTATTATGAGACATCTGACTTTTGAAAGCTGTTCAAAGCCACCCTGAATAAATAAAGGACACTTCACAAATTTGAATGTCATCCTTGCAGAGGGACTACGCTAATCTTCTCTGTATCACTTCAATTTTAGTATATGTTCTGCCAATGCAAGCAGAAACCTGTTCCTGAAGATCTCTTTTAACACTGACAAAGCACAATTCTGCATGAGAGCTTGCAGCATCTATCAAGCAGAGGTTATTCCATTCTATGCTTCAGTGAAGTACATAATACAATCTCCAATCACAGCAGAGCAGTTCTTGTGGCATAACATGAATAAATGTGGGGTTCTTTTTGTCCCTCTATTCAAAGATGCAAAAAACATTGGATCAACAGGGTGTCTGTTATGCTGATGTTCTCACATGTCCTTCATGTTCCCTAGTCTTCTCCCTCTCTCTCTCCCTCTCCCTCAGCCTACTGCTGCTTTCTCTGCTACTTTCACTATATCCCTCCAACATTCTCTATATGGTTTCTGCTTCCATCTGCTTCCCCTTTTCCACAGTGTTCCCACCCTTTCCCATCTACCTTTTATGGCTCTCTCCACTTGCTGTTTTCTATCTCCTCTCCTGTACCTTTATTAAGTCAACCAATTCCCAGCCCCTTGCTCCACCCATTGTCCCTTTATTGCCTCCCCTTTCTTCTCCTGAACAGTCTTACTAATCCTTTTCACTCAGTATAAAGAATTGCTTTTTTTTCTGGTTTAGAAGCTCTGCTCTACTGGGAGCTGGATTTATTAGACCTGTCTAAGAGTACAATTTAGATTTGTAGCTTTCCAGTTTCTTTGACCTGGGTGGTGGTAGCAACTACTTAGATAGACTTTCTCTCTTCTTTAAAGTGGTTAATACCCTTTGTTTATCTTTGGTTCCTGCTGGGAGAGTTTAAAGAAATCTCCCAAATTGTTTTGATCTATTCTAGAAGACATTGATGAGTCAAAGCTGAGAATTAGCAAAACGCTCAAACATTTCTGAATGCCATTATATTGGTGATCATGTCTCTTATTTAAGAATGAGTTGAGGACATGAATCAACTAGCAAAGAAGTATGAGAAAGACATAATCTTTATGAGTTTCTTTTACCTCTTTTTGTTCTTGTAAAACTAGAGAAAAGAACAAAACTAGGTGGTTTTGAATTGACTTGGTGATTCCTATAGGCATAATAGCTAGAAAGCCAAAGAATTGGTCCACTAGTGGGAGAAGATGTCAGGAAGATGATGAGCAGCAGGGAGAAGGAGGAACTACTTAGTTCCTTTTTTGCATCTGTCTTTACACAAAAGGAAAAAATAGTCCAACCTGTCAAAAGCTTGCAGAAGAGGAATGCAGGTCAGAATAGGTAAGGCGGTTACTCATTAAATGCTGCTCTGAAAGAAGTTCAAGTCTCCTGGATCAGATGGTTTACATCCCAGGGTACTGAAGGAGCTGGCAGATATGATCTCAGAACCACTGAATGAATGAGAGCTCCTGGAGCACAGGGAACTGCCAGACAACTGGAAAAGAATTGATGTGGTTCCAATCTTTAAAAAGAGGGAAAAAGTGGATCCAGACCGATCAGGGAAATATCTGGGAAAACTCTGGGAAACGTAATCAAGCAGCAAGTTTCTGAGCACCTAAAAATGAACAAGGTGATTACTAGAAGCCAGCATGGTTTAAGAACAGGTCATGTCAAACAAATCTTACTGCCTTCTTTAATAAAGTGACTAAATTAGTGGACCAAGGAAATGCTGTGGATATAGTATACTTAGATTTTAGTAAGGCATTTGATAAAGTAGACCACAGCCTACTTTGTGGCAAGACAGAACAATGTGGGATAGACAGTACCACTACTAGATGGATTTGCAGTTGGCTGACCAACAGCACTTAGTGTGTGGTCTTAATGGAACTACATCTACGTGGAGGGAAGTATGCAGTGGAGTACCTCAGGTTCTGTCTTGGGCCCAGTGCCCTTCAACGTCTTCATAAATGACCTAGATAAGGGGACTGAAGGGGCAATCATCAAATTTGTGCATGATACAAAGCTGGGGGGAATTGCTAATGCTTTGGAAGATAGATTCAAGATTCAGAAGGATCTTGACAGACTTAAGCACTGGGCCCTATCCATAAGATGCAGTTCAGTGGAGAGAAAAGTAAGGTCCTGCACTTAGGCAGGAAAAAA